ACTAATTTGATTTTATTATGTTTTTTAATCTGAAAAGTTTTTTTATATATTTTTAAATAACAGTAAAGATAGTTAGATTAATAATTAGTTAATTGAAATATATTTTAATTATATTAAGAACTAATAAGATATAGCAGATAGATCTTAGTATTAAAAATAATTAAAATGATTAATTATTAAATCTTTAGTTATACTATAGTTAGATATTAAAGTTTTCTTAATCTGATTATAATCTAACAGTTAGATATAAAAATTTTAATTAATCTAATCTAACCTGGCTGTTAGCCACTCTAAATATTCTTAATAATATTTATACATAAAAACCCACTGCGGAAACTTTTAAAAAATATATTAAAATTAAAAAATATAAATTTAAAATAATATTAAATAATAAAAGTATATTTTTCTTACTGCTGTCGAAGCTAAGTTTTTTGACTATAAGAATTATAGTAAAAACTATAACTTTATTAATAAATCTATTAATAAATTGTTTTTATTAAAAATATTCGTTGTTATTTAATAAGAATCAAATATAATTAGTAATTAAAGCAGATTTTATCTTCTTTTAAATATTTTTTCTTATCTATTTTTTATTTTTAGTTATTTTTCTTTTTCTTTTTTTATATTGCTGTAGTAATTATTCTAATTATTACTTCCATTTACTATTTATTCTGCTTATCAACTATTTTATATATTTTATATACATACCGCTGCTTCGGATAATTTTGCTGTTTTATTATTTTTTGTTTATTTTTTATATATCTATATTCTGCTTAAAATTAAAGAAAGTATTAGCTGTAATTCTAAGTTCTATTATTAGTAACTATTAATTTTTCTGCTATTAGTAATTATTTATCTTCTGTTCTTAATAAGATCTTTATTTATATATTATATATAGTTAAAAAGAAATCAATCAAGGATCTACCCATAAATCCCCTTTTTGTTAATAGCGATAAATTGCTACTGCCAATACTTTGAATGTTCGGCTTGTTCTACTAAAATAAAGGATATCAGATAATCTAACTGTTAAGAATAATGATTACCCGTAAGCAGTTAAGAAACAATAAGTTAAACAAATTCAACTAAGGTAGAAACTATAAAGCTATTGTTATCGTACTAATGAGAGAACGGAGAGAGAAAAGGAAGAGAGAGGAAGAAGAAAAAAGGCCATTCATCACCTCTCCATATAGGGAAGGCGGAGAAGCCTCCCTCAACCTTGCCCCCACACTACTTATAAGTTACCATACAGTAACTGGTAGTTCGGTAGCACCCTGCCTAAAAGCAAGATGGCCACACACGTGACTGTGAGAAAAGCTTGGCGCGGATGTATTGTAATTCCGTTGGAAATTGATTAGATCCGGCGAAGGTTTTATAATCAATTCCTAAAAAATCAGGTTGACTGCGCGAGACGCATATGATTTTTGTTGCGGGCATTTGGCACCATGCCGTCAACTAACGATGACGGATTCTATCTACCATCCGCGAAGAGACAGAAGCGAACAGATACGTTGCAGAGCCAGCCACCTGTTCAATTACCTGGTTCCAAAATATTTTTACCATATCGGGTAAGATATGGATTGGGCTTGCATGCTTCAACAATGAATTCCCCCTCTCTGTCGACGATTACCAGCGCTAATGTAAATGCAGACACTGGGACTTGTAACGACAAAAATTCCATTCACGTCCGTCCGATTGGGTAAATCGACATATCAGATCACTACGTCTGTCGGACGCAGCTTGCAAACCTACGATTTACAGCGCGGACTTAGCCTAGTCTTCGTGAGCCGACCCCAGACTCCCGACATCATAACGGCAACGATCGCCTGGCAAGATAGGGTTTTCGCGGCATGGGGAAGCCTCCGGCCTGGATCTCCAGGAGGCATATGGGTCTTCAAGCGCGGCAAAAAAATCGGATCGTTGGAGCTACCACCCGAGGTTACTGAGCCTATTGACCGGCTGTTGGTCTTTGGATCATGGGTAATTGGCAGCTGCGGCAAATGTATTTCAGTATGGAAAAACGCATCGTACGAGCATTATACAACGCTTTTCCCGCAACAGTCGAGGGAGTCATCGACAGAGCAGGTCTATACCGGCCAGATTTGCAATATGCCAACGTATCTGAACAAGATATTCGTTGGAAGGTGCGATGGAAAGGTTGATATCTGGAATGTCAAGTCAGGAAAGCTGATTCACTCGCTATTGCCAGCGTCGTCTTCCGCTGGGGCTGTGACTGCTCTACAAGCAAGCCCTGTTCTATCTCTGATTGGAATTGCGTACAAGAATGGTTCAGTTTTTGTTTGTGATGTGCACACAGGTCAGGTGGTGCTATCTTTGCGAAGCAATCTATCACGCTCATCCGAAATTACATCTCTCACCTTTCGAACAGACGGGCTGGGTGCGGGCGAAGATGGCCGAGTACCAGGTGTCATGGCAACGGCCTGTGTCGATAGTGGTGATATCACCATGTGGGACCTGAACAACGGTGGCAGAGTATCTGGTGTTCTTCGCCAGGCACATGGGGTTTCCAATGACGATACAAGTTCTGGCGTGAGTCATGTCCAGTTCCTGGATGGTCAACCTGTTATGATTTCATCTGGGGGCGATAACTCCCTGAAAACGTGGATCTTCGATCAGAACCCCTTCTCAAGCACCCCTAGACTTCTTCACTCCCGGAGTGGGCATTCAGCCCCGATCACCGCTGTTGAATTCCTCCCTGCTGCATCTGATGGATCGGAGCTTGGAGGTAAATGGCTGCTAAGCGCAAGCAAGGATCGCAGTTTGTGGGGCTTCAGTGTGCGCAAGGATAGCCAGAACACGGAAATATCTCAAGGTGCTGTTGAACACAAATTGAAGAAACTGACCGCCTCACATGCGACTAGGAATTTTCATGCTGTATCCGAAAATGGATTCAAAGCATCAGAGATCACATGTATCGCCTGCTCCCTGAACCGAGATGGTGGGATGGGGACAACAACATCTGGTCCCATTTGGGCCAATCCGGCGGTAACAAGGACAGATGATTCTAGCAAAACTGGTTGGGAAAGTATAGTCACTGGCCACCGTGGAGACAAATACGCCCGGACATGGTTTTGGGGCAAAAAGAGAGCCGGGCGTTGGGCATTAGAAACTGGTGATGGCACTGAAGTCAAAGTAAGGTCGATCCAGGCGCGCATCGCTGGTAAATTTCGCTAATGAGTGCGCCAGAGTGTCGCTATATCACAATGCGGAACATTCGCGATATTAGGTTCTGCAGGGGGGAGCATAGACATGTTCAACTTACAGTCTGGCGCTCACCGGCAGAGCTTTCCGGTTCGAAACTCACGGGACAATGGGAAAGATAGCCGTACGGGTTCATATAAGCGATCTGACAGCTCTTCAAAGCATTCAAAGGCAGTCACTGGCCTAATGATCGACAGTTTGAACCGAAATGTTGTAAGCTGTGGTCTCGATGGAAAGGTTAAGGTATGTCAGAATATGACTTTCCGTTCATTAACTCGCCACAGTTAACATCTATACAGTTCTGGGATCTTGTTTCTGGATCATTAGTCGATGAGCTTGACTGGTATCCGATGACATCAATCAATGGACTCCGCTATAGCCGCACAAGCGAGCTCGTTGCGCTTGGCTGTGACGATCTTTCCATCCGCGTTGTTGACGTGGAAACTAGGAAAGTAATTCGAGAGTTCTGGGGGTGTATCGGTCAAATAAATGATTTTTCATTCTCCAATGATGGACGGTGGATCATTGCTGCATCAATGGATTCTACAATCCGGATCTGGGACTTGCCAACAGGACACCTTATCGATGTTTTCCGTGTTTCCAGCACTTGTACCTCGGTTGCTATGTCCTCAACAGGTGAATTCCTGGCTACTGCGCACGCAGATGGTTTAGGAATAAGTCTTTGGTCTAACAAGAGCTTGTTTGTGCCCATTTCCACACAGAACGTGGACGATCGCAAAATTAGCAGTGTTGGTATTCCTGCGTCTACCGTTGAATACGCATCAGGCGTCATCGAGGGTGCATTTTCCGAAGAGAATGAGGCAGATGAGCTAGACGGCCCATTACCTACCATTGACCAGCTTAGTGAAAACATGGTCACGCTGAGTGTTGTTCCTAGGAGCAAGTGGCAGACGTTCCTTCACTTGAATCTCGTCAAGGTATTCCTCACCGGACCTCCTATTGCAGTACTCGTTTCTTGCTTCTGAAGTTGCCTGAGCCCTTCTGACTTACTATTGCACAGGAGCGAAACAAGCCAAAGGAGCCCCCTAAAGCCCCTACAAAGGCCCCTTTCTTCCTTCCGAGCCATCATTCTGAGTCAAGGACAGCGGAAACTGATCCCACCAGCTCCCCGGAAATAGCGATCGCTGAATGCTCAAGGATCGCAAAGATGCAGCGAATTGGTGAAAGCGGTATCACAAGCTCCAAGTTTACCAATCTCCTGAAGTCCGGTCATGTCTCGAACGACTTTGGCCCTTTCATTGAATACCTTAAGTCATTGCCTCCAGCGAAGGCGGATCTTCAAATCAGGTCATTGGAACCCCGAAGGCAGGCTGATCGCTCCGAATTGTCAGACTTCGTCATGGCACTTTCATTCCGGCTTCACCAGAGGAGAGATTTTGAGCTTGTTAATGCTTGGATGGCCGTCTTTCTGAGAGTCCATGCAGATTCCGTGGCAGCATGTTCCGTTCTTAACGACGACGACAATGAGCCATTGAAGAATGCTCTCCTTGCGTGGAGTCAGGCACAACACCGTGAGGCCCAGCGGTTGGCCGAATTGGTGGGATACTGTCGGGGAGTGGTGGGATTCTTAAGGTCCGCTCGTTGAGTTTAAAAATTTCATTAATACAGTCTCCAATATCAGACATGATGAGCTTTATATACTTTGTCTCTGTTACCCTCCCAATGACTTTCATTAGGTTTCGCATCTTAGTCAAATACAAAAGGCAGTACGAAGTGAAATGAAGCAATAAGTAAGAGATGTTCATTGGTCTGAGAGAAGCTCAAACATATTCTGAGGCCGTTGAGGCCACGTGCGACTTACTGCCGTCGGTATGCTATTGGTTAAATCCGGGTCCCCCAATTTCAGGGTTTGGGTGCCACCAGACACACACTGTCTTTTTCTCCTTCCATGGTCGTCGCTGCTTTTACCCCACAACAGTATCGCTTGATTAATGGCATCCTTAGCTGGGAGGTTCGCCGACTCTCTCTTCATCTCATGTGCTGATCTCATTAATACATGTAGCGGTGGTAGACGGGCTAAAAAGGCAGCTGCTTGTGTCGTTTGTCGGTCAGAGATCTCTGATATACCAAGCAATTGTTTAAGGATCCTCAACGAATACAGCACGGATTGAATCTGGGCTAGAATGTGGACATCGTCCCAGTCCAGGTTGTTGCTCATAGACCCATGGGCCAAAAGCTGCTTTAGCTGATCGAGGTTTGGAATTTTGGGCGTCGTCTGCAGTCCAAATATAGTATAGAGGGCAAAGGTCCTCCAAAAGACCGGGCAGTCAACCTCAATACCAGTCTTTGCCTGGACGATACTAAGGTGGTCGAGCAAGGATTGAATTTCTGCTGATAACCAAGACTGGTTCTCGAGGGTAATCATGTCGGATGTAACTCTTCCACCTCGCCTGATGTGCTCAACAATGTACTTATGCCTTTTACCTATCGGTTGTGTTAGGTTGAAAAAAGAATAGCCTATGACTCTAATCACACGCCCTTGCAGCCAAGCACACTGCCGCTTCGGATCCTCGTTGAGCATCACGAGATACATATTCAATAAAGCATCCTGTGAATACGTCTCTGGGAAAAGATACTGAGAGACCATTTCTGAGACCCTGGTATCGAGTGACTGGGGATATTGTTTTCCTATATCATCGACAAGGATGCTCGGACAGGTCTGATACTCCTTCGCAAAGTGAGAATAGCCTGGGACAGGATCAGGGACCCTGTCAATGATCTTCGATCGCTGAATAAGCTCTCCCATTCCAATCTTAGGATTTGATTGTAGCTCAAATGCCAATGGCAACAGTGATTCCAATCCCAGTCGGCGCGCGACCGTATTCGGGCAAATGCCCTGGGCCGTAATTGAGTTGCCTGGATCTGTGCGCGTCCAGCTCATGGAACTGACAAGGATAACAGATCCTGTTGAGCCTATATCGTACAAGAGCAGGTCAGAATCATTTGTAAGTATCGAACAGGTATTTCGCTTGGCTAAATGGGCACAGTAAACGTCCGCCTCCCCTGGGACCATGACGGTAACATCAGCCCATGGCAAACTTGCCAGACGGTTTGCGGTCATACGCAAAAATGAATCCAACGGAAGGGCCTCAAGGATATTCTCCTTAGACCAACGTTCTCGTAGGTCTTCATAAACCGCGGGGACTATAAAATGGTTTTCTGGTACCAGTGTAAGACTGGCAGGTAGGGTCCTGCTTTGCAAGACATTTTCCCACCGGTTGGCTGTCATCGTCTCCGGGGCAAAAGATGTACTCAGACAAGCCGAATGGCTTATTCGGAAAGCCTCGAGTCTTTTTCTGGTCTTCTCCAGGCGAGCAAGGCGTGTCAACTGCTTTGATGGAGGCAAAGCCCCGTCGAAGCATAGTTTTTTTCTAACAAAGTACGTGATTAGTTGGAATAATCCCACAATAAATCTTCGTGCATACTATACATCGTCACGCCTAGCGACGCCAAATGGAGGAGGAATATCATAACCCCATGGCTCACTTCATCGCAAGTTGGTTGTATATCAGGATAGTGAAGATCGGGGTTTGACCACGATAGCAGGCGATGGTAAACATGGTAGACAAGGCTAGGCCCGTCTATTACCACAGCTTGCGCAGTGGCTACGCCTGGACTCGGATGCACTCGATCTTGTAGAGATACTGTGTCTAAGTAAGGCTCTAGATGTTGTTTTAGCCGTAATATACCCATTCTGCTTAAAGTGATAAAAGATGTAGTGGTATCTGAGAAGTGTTTGAGAAATAATACTACCAATACACATTGCTGCGGTGCTGCGTTTAGGCCTCGCCAAAGCCCGCGGGTTTACGGGTCGGGTTCAAACCCAATCCGGCTCTTAGCGGGTTTTAGATCGATAGACTCAACCTGCGGGTTAAATATAGATTTAAATATCGAATCTATAAATTCTTAGCAGATATTTATAAATTATTAAATTAAATAAATATTATAAGATTATTAGATTATATAAATTATATAGTTTTAATTATATTTTTAAAATATTACATCTAAATTTAAAATAATCTAATATAGAAGATATTTAATTATATATAAATTTATGATAATTAAAATTAAAAAATTTAACTTATCTATATATAATATATTCCTAATATAAAATAAATTAATTATTTATAAATTTTGTCTAATTCTGTTTAATATCTATAATTGGATTTCTGATAGAAAATTATTTTTATTATTTTTATTATTATTATTATTATTATTTTTTTCTTTAATTATTAAAACGATTTGGTTCTTATTTATATTAGAAGTAATATTTTTTTATCTATTATATATTTTAATAAAATTAATACTTCTAATTATTTAAAAACAGCTTTTTTATTATTTTTTTTATTTATTATTATAATTATTTTTATTATTATTAATTAGTTTAATATTTTTTAAAAAAAAAGTATACTTCTTCTTTTAAATAATCTTAACTTTTTTATAAAATTTTTAATAATAGTTTTTTTAAACTGTATTATAAATTTATATCTATAAGAGTTTATATATTATAATAAATCTTAATAATAATAGTAGATATTCTAAACTAAATTAAAAAATTATTTAATACTTATATTATTTATAAAAACAAAAAATATATTATAAATAAGTTTTATAAATAAAAACTATATATATTTATATATATTTTTTATAATATTCGAACTGATATTACAGAAATAATAATTAAAGTAAATATTAAAAAAATAAAAAATAAAAATAAAAA